CATTTTATAGTGTTAATGCTCTGACTGATTTCGAGCCACATGAAAGAAAGTGTACATTTTTTTGAAAATTGTTACAGACGATTTACAACGAAGAAATGTGAAATCGCCTGCTGCGTTTGAGTTACAGCAAACGTTTTTAAATATTTCTATCGGTCCTTATTATGACATGACTGGGTAGCTGATACTTTCAATCCCCTATCCTCCTATAATTCATTTACTTTTTTATTTCTATTGAGTAAAGATTCCTTTTTGTTATATGCATTCAACTGAGTATTTTTTTATCCGTAAACAAAATTCCTGACTAAAAATCCCAATTGATTTCTAAGTTTTTCTGGGGGAAATTTAATGATACACAAACAACTCCTGCAAAGGGGCAAATATTTACTATATCTATTGCTTATAACTAAATATATATTATTTATGATTATGAAGAAAAATTATTCATAGTGAAACGAGTTGGAAAAAAAATTTCTTCCCCGGTTAACAGGTTAATGATTATTGTTATGATGATCTATTGCATTTTCCCAATTCCTTTCGTGCAATCCTTTGAATGTATGGAGTTAATGATATAGTTGATAGCATCTTTGAGTATACAAAAATAAACTCAGGTTTTTTGTGAAAGGATCGTTAAGCATTTTTTTTCAAAACTATTTGAATTGAATTTGAGAAATTAAGGGGTGTTTTCTTTAAAAAATCTTTATTGAATTCTTTTGTTGTAAAATAAGTCCGTTTCTTTTTAGCATCTGTTTCTTTAAACTCCACCTAAGTATCTTTGAAAAAAAGGAGGGGAAAAAACCACTTTCAATCAACACAGAAGGGAAGTTCGTTTTTTATGTTTACTTGAAAATTTAAATGCTATTTTCCAAAGCAAACAAACACAAGAGACAAAAGAAAGAATGAAAAAAAAAAACGCTTTCATTCATACAGTCAAAATAAGTGTTTGAAATGAGGTATAGAACTTGAAATCTCCAGAGAAATTATTTGCGAGCACTCAGATTACAATAGTACAAAAGGACTGTTTTTTCTTTCCTTCCTTTGTTCTGTTTTCTTTCTGAGAAAAACATAAATACACACACACACAGTCTTCTCATTTTGTGTTTTGTTTGGGTTTGTCAATAATAAAAGATAAACCATTTTTTAGCGTGCTATATTGCAAGCCTAACTTTCTTTCGAAAACTTCTTTTGTAGTGTCTGTATTTCGAACTTTTTCATTCATTCGAAGCAAATTTTAAACCAATCGTTGCTTGTTGACTTTTTTCTTGTTTGCTTGACGAAAAGCGTTTAAACATTTTTCAAGAAAATTGAATGTCTCTATATTTATCTAAAACTGTTGTATGGTGTAAAAACTTCAAGGCGAAAATAAAAAAAAAAAAATGAATTGTTTAAAGAAAATTTGCTGAAGAAGCTGCTTTAACATAACGCATTTATTTTCAGAATATTGTGTCTAAAATTTTCTCAAAATGGAAATATGAAAACAGAAATATTTTTATTAACATGTAAAATGCGAGCGAATGTTTGTTAGCGTTACTTTATAAGGCAACATTAGGGCTATTGGCAGCGTACCTTGTAATTTTGAACCTCGGTTAAGTGATGAGGACTTAAAAACTTGCAACTGCTTTCCAAGCTACCACACTACTGCAACGGGAGGACTTTAAGCCATGACAGATTTCACATGCATGAGCCTCTCAACCCTCTCGGAAAAATCTTCAGTGACACTTAGACTCGAACTCATGACACATCATGAATTCAAGTCATTTCATAAGTTTTCAGGAAAATAATAAATCGAGAGAGAAAATTCATGGTACAAAATTAGTTCTTTTATCTTCGCTTAGAAAGCATCTAACATAGGACATATAGAACCAGATACAGTGAAATACTTTTAAGGCGAAAACTTATAAGATGAAATATCGGTTAACACGAAATAATGCAATGGTCCTTAGAAATTTCTATGTATTTACATGCATTTTTTCTCTTAACACTAAAAGAAAATCTCTTAACACGAAAATATTTACCTTCTGGGAATGAACAAAATACGACAAGTAATATAAAAAAATTGTTTACGTCAATTTCTACTTAGATCAACAAATTGTTTTTTATTTTAGTTACTTTTTTATTAAATAATTACAATTAATATATATATATATATATGTATATATATGCGTATGACAGAATCACAATATTAAATGGCAAATAGTATATATTAATTATCATTAAAGTATCTTACTGTCATCCAAAACAATCGTGTACATAAAATTTCAATTTAGTGAGAAAAAAATACAAATTTAAAACGAGAGGAAAAAATCTTTTAAAATTTTGACCAAAGCCGCTAAAAATGAAGCCAAAGTGACTGTGTCTGTAATTCTTAAAATAATTAGTTTCAGTTAATTAATTTTAATTACTTATAATTAAATTATCGTATTGTCATCCAAAACAATCGTGTCTAGAAAACTTCAGCTCAAATAAGTGCTTTAAAATGTGAGAAAAAAGTTTTCAGTTTAAGTTTTCACACAAGTCGCCAAAATGGTCACTAAGTTGCCAAAAATGATGCCAACGTGGCTGTATCTGTAATTCTTTGAGTAATTAGCTTTAATCAATTAATTTTTATTAATTGTAATTAAATTAACGTATTGTCATCCAAAATAATCAGTTATATAAAATTTCAGCACAAATAAGCTCTTTAAAATGTATTCGATTAACGATTGAAAATTTGAACAAGATATATATAGGGAGATTGTGTGAACTACTACTAATAGTAGGAATTGAAGAACACCAACCGTTTAATGAAATCTTTGAGAGAGTTTCTGTATTATTGGACTGTTTAACTGTCCAATAATACAGGGAATATTTTTTGGCACTACAAAGAAGTAAAAGTTGTAGTTAAGACGCGTTAATTTCCAATAAAGATATTTTCAAGAAAAATATGATGCCTCATTATCTTTTGTAGAATCGTACATGATATTTGGAACAAATTCTGGTAAATCATATGTCCTCAGAATTCAATTTTTCTAATAAAAATAAAAAAGAAGGCGCTTAAAAGTCTTGGTTAAGTATCTAAATAAAACAATAGTGGGAAATATGAATTTTCTTTTGTTTATTTTTTGCAGAACAAAAATCTCTCTCTCTATCATGTTAAGTTTTGAGACAGTTGTTAATTTACTTCAATGTCAATTGATAATTGATACAAATGATAATAAAACCTTATTAAGAAACTTATATATTTTTCTCACAAAAATAAATCATGATAAACATTTATGAATTCGTTTGGTGAGTTTAATAGCTCATCCGGAATTTACAAATAATTAAATATATAAAAAAAACCCTTTTAAATCGTAAAAGCTAATTTCATGCAAATACAACATATAATATATGCAAAAAACACTTATAAAGATTTGCAAAAATAGTCAAGCTTTGTTAAAGATGTATTTGTTTTATCGTCTTGCAAATTATATAATAATTCTTATGTTTTATCCTATTGCAAATTATATAGTAGTTCTTGTGTTTTATCCTCTTGCAAACTATACAAAAGTTCTTAATTTAATTTGTTCGAAATAAATTTAAATATGCGCTTTTTAACATTTTAAAAGCATTAGCATGTTTTTCCGTAAAATAATTTCAACTTACTTCTCAACGGAAATATTTCGAAAAAAGAATTTTTTTCCCTTTATTGCTTCAATAAGTAACAATAGTTAGTGAAATCCATAGATCTCAAGAAATCTAGGAAGTTTCAAAATAGGATAAGATGGGAGAGCCCTAGACATTCCACCAGTATATAAATAAATTTTAAAACTAAGCCCGGACTTAGAGCTTCCGGGATATCAGGGATATCAAAGCCCCGGATGCCAAAACAGTCACCACAATAGCCTGCAAAGTTTAAAAGACCGCCCCGAAAAGTTAAGCCTCTTGTGTTTTGTGCTTCCTTCCTTTGGCCGAGGTCATTAAGCAAAGGCCGAGTAATTACGCTAGGGGCTTCATTTCCGTGCCCCTGCACAACGGATTCGCCGCCCCACGTAATTGAAAATTGCTCTATGCCTTCGCGCTGGGGCTATTAAGAATCTACCAGCGACACCACCTGGCACGGATAGAAGATGGGTTAAGGAATATGAAGAATTTTTTAATAAGAGATAGTAGTACATATGGATTAAGTTTTATTTTTATCCTTTGCATGGAACTTTTTTGCTCCTAATTTACATATTCGAGCAGTAATTTTCACACTTCATATCAAAAACATGAGGGTTTAGAATAAATAAAATTCTAATCATTGATAATTTTGCAAAACGTTGAGTTCTGAATTTGTGATATGGAATAGAACAGATTATTTTATAATAGCAACAATAAAAATGATACTGATTTTTATTTAATTTTTCTTATATCTTCAAATATTTTTCAATAAAAATGTAATAAAAATTTTAAACAATTCTCTTAACTTTAATATTTTTAAAGAAATAATGGATTTAGTATTTAGCCAAGCAGTTTAAAGGTGGACCTTTAAAAGGTTTTAAGGGGTTTCAATTACATCAGTAATCATGCACAATAATCAAAACAAGAAGAGTTTTTGAAAAATATATTGAATAAGTTGACATATATTGTGCTCAGAAATATCATTAAATAAATATAAAAGTAACGAAATATTTTTTGAAATAAAACTTATCGTAAAAAAAAAATTATACGTAAAAATTGTAATTGAAACGGCTGAAACAAGTAATATAAAAAAAAATTGTAAGTCAATTCCTACTTAGGTCAACAAAGAAAATTTTTATTTTAGTTACTTTGTATTAAATAATTATAATTAGTATAAATATGTATATATACATATGACAGACTCACAATATTAAGTGACAAAATAGAAAGCGATTTTCCTTGCTATTTTCTATTTTCCTTTCTATATAGGGTGTTGGACTATTTTTGGTTGTGTGTTACTATTCATTGATTTTTTTTAATTAAATTTAATTATTCTAATTGAATAGTATAGTAAAAAGAAATCACATTCTCAGAAATTAGGCCATCCCAGGTGGGATTCAAACCCACGCTTTTTGGAATAGAAGACCAACGCGCTATCCATCACGCTACAAGGACACAACGCACGATTTTCCTTTTTACATACGGTGTTGGACTATTAATTTTGTTTGTAGCAACTTATTCATTAATTAAATAGAATTAATCAATTAATATTTGTAAAAATGGTATTAACATCAAGTGTCATCCACTACACGTTTAAAAATGTATTTAAACATGAATGGATGATTAGAAAGTATTTTATTTTCGACTGAAAACTTGAACAAGATACATATATATAGATATGTAATAATAGTAGGAATTGAAAAATAGATTCACTTACTTCACTACACTTACTTTATTGAAGAAATTCGGCAAATATTTTGCTAATATTTCCTATTGCATAATTTTAATATCTATCATATTTTTATTTTTAAATGTAAAATATGGATTGTGTAGGAAAATTTCATTGATACACATATATCATGAGTATAAGATGATATTACTTTTCCTGCGACCCCCCTTTTTCCGCAAGTCGCAAACAACAAAGGAGAAGAACAAAAGTGCTGAAAGACTGCCCTAACAAATGTTTCTTTTCGTCTTACTCGTCTAACGCATGCACCGCATGGCGGCTGATCGATAGGTTGGTGGTTCAAATAAGCACTCTTGCCACAAGGTAAAAAGCTGGTTGCTGAAAGTTACAACAATCGGATAAAATCTGTGAACATTTACGTAATATGTGATGAAGTATAAAACTCTTATGTGCATTACACTCTAAATTATTCTAGAGCAATGCAAATTTACAAGATATCATCTTGGGTTTTCCGGAAAGTTCGTGTCCATTTTTGGTAAGTGGAATAAAGACAGGTTTTAATACATCAAAATGACTGGAAACAAATGACGTGTGTGCACTTTCTAAAAGAGAGTATTTTGAACACACAACATTCTTAAATAAAGTTTGTGTGTTTATGATAAGTTAATTGTAGTCATACACAGTTTTATAAACACCTTGAATGAGAAAGAAAAAGTTCAATCAAAGTCATTTAATGCTTTTCCTTTTCTGGAAAATGAAAATTGAAATCGAAGTGGCAAACAAGATATGCATTGTTTATGGCGAAGTTGGCGTACACATAAGAACTGTGTGTAAGTAGTTTGCTAGATTTAAAGATGGTGAACAAACCCTGAACATTAAAAATGTCGAGGAAGGCCTTCCATCTCAGATAAAAATCAGATTAAAAGACTGATTGTGTGAAAATAATGTTAAGAATATCAGAATCCAACATCCACGAGCATTTTGTGAAGCTTGGCTTCTTAAAAATCGTTTTGATAAATAATTTCCACTCGACGGGAAAGAAATTTTAAGATCGCGTTTCCATTTGCGACTCGAACACAAACATAATAAAGGGACACTATTTTTGAAGCAAGCAGTAGGTGAAGTATAGTAATGACGAGTAAAAAAATTTCTTACAGAAAGCGGAAGAATGAACCACATATAGAACCCCCCCCCCCCCCCCCAGAGTCAATCTTCGTCTGTAGAAGGCCATGCTCTGTGGCAGGTGGAAAAGGGGATTACATTATGAGCTTTTTACCATACAACCAGATGATAAATTCCGAGAAGTATTGCTCCCAATTAGACAAAAATTAAAGACAGAAATTGAACAAAAACCTCCAGAAATAGAGAATCGGAAGGCGGACAATGTTGCCCCTATAAACCTCAACTATTTTTTAGATGAGATAGAAAACAAGGCAAGAAAGCTTTTCAATGAAAAACCTTAGTGGATGGTCGGAATTTTCAGTTTGCCTGAGAGATGGAAAAAGTTTGTACCTCAGAATGGTACCTATACTGTTTAATAAATGTACTGACATTTAAATCTCCTGCGTTAAATTTTCCTCCAAAGAAAGGTAATATAATAACCCAATAATTTAATTATTAATGTAATTTAATACCTAATTTTGTGATATAGTAGTCAAAATAAATAAATTATAATGGTAATTTTTTTATGTATCTTAATCTTTACTTTGAAAATTAAGTTAGATACAATGGGTACAATGTTAGTTTATAACATGTAAAAATTAAGCAAAGAGGTTCTTATAAATAAATATAATTAACTTATAATGATCAAAAGCATATTTGAATTTGTATAATCTAGATCATTTAGGACCTTTTTTCTTATCTTCTCCTTTTCTGATTCCAATCACTGAAGAAATTATTTTTAACCCAAAATTTAAAATGTTCCATAAAAAATATTTATATTCTTGCCTTCTTAAAGTAACTAAAAATATTAAAGAACTTAAGCGGAAATGCATTTCCATGTTTTCCATTTTAGTCGCGGAAGCATATCCATAAAAAATTATATCTTAAAAATATACTTTCGTAGCGTTACATTTTACTTTCACACATATTTTTTCTTTCACTACTGCCACAAAATTCGCGCAAAAAAGTTGAAGATATAGAATGAAAGTTGGCTATTACGCCTCGGCGCTGTGCATTGCCAGCCTAAGGGCAAACTACAACCGCAACTTCCCTGGAAAATGAAACGTGGCTGTAAAAGTAAAGTTCACAAGGAAAAGATGATGTAACCGTGATGTAAAAACGGATGGAAAAAAAAATTCAGTTCGGAAAAAAATTGCATCAAGGAAAGGAAGAAATCTGGTACGCGAATTGCTTCGAAAAAATGAGATAAAGTTTTGGGATTTAATGGCATCGACTTCACTTTTAAAGATAACGTGTTAAAAGATTTTGAAGTTTATTATAAAGAAACTTTTGGGTAATTTTTTTGGCACGATATATAAACTTTGGATGACAGTGTTAAAATATGTAAAATTCAGCTTTTCTTTCGTGTTTTAATAAGCTTTTAGATATTGTTAAATACTTTGAATTCATCTATGCTAAGTGTAAACTTAAAATTAATCAATGAAGGAGGAAAAGGAATTATTCTTATTAGCAATTGGTAAATTTCGAAAAAAATTTCGCGTTGAATAAACTTATTTCTGTGTTCAGTATAATTATTTTCCATTGGTGATTTATTTTAGAATGCTTACATTAGTTATTAATTGCTGATATAGTTAAAGACAATTAGTATTAATTTTCGTTGCAATATACTTAATCAGAATTCTTAGAAGAATGGTAAAATTTTTAGAAATATCTCTCATCAATCTTGTTAAAAATGTTTTTAAAAGGAATAGATCGAAACATTTGTTTCTGTGAGGCCTTATTTTAATTAAAAATGCGCATCCTTTAACTATTTTAATGATATCCGGTGCTTACGCTTATTATACCGTTGACCAATTTCATCAAATCGAAACATAAAGCTAAATGCCGTGATATATAGCCAACATTGGAAACCATTCCGTGCACGTTCAGAAACAGGACGAACAACGATGGCAACA